ATTCACTCCTACTATATCCTAACAAGTGGCTATGGTATTTGCTAAAAAATCTGCTCGTCAGTTTTTAGAATCAAACTTGAAATTAGATATAGGTAAGTAATACTGTCATTGAAATTACAGGTAAGGCAAATAATCTGGGCTTATTAATTAATCAGGATCTAAGGCTCAGCGATCACATAACGAAATGCATACAGAGAGCATACGCATCGCTAAAATTACTCTATCCCCATAGATCATATTTATCAACAGAGCTTGTTTCCATAGATCACGAGATGGGGTGCTTTTATTTAACTTTGAGCACCACATAATCCAATTATTTTTTGCTTTGGTTTTGAATAATCTTTTGGTTGATGCAAATATCTCTTAAATTTTATTATAATTTTATTTTGAGGTCATTAATTATGATTGATTGTTCGACCATCTACTACTGTATATAAACTCTTTGTAATTAAAAATTATTTTCTACTTTTTAGTTCGGAGACATGCAATAGCCGATGATCTGCTGTTTTCTACCAATATAACAACCTCTAAACTAAATTGTTATATTGCTGGTTGACATTTTGAATGGTATTGTTCATAAGCGCGATACGCCACTGGAAAAAAGAATCGCCGCGAAACTCTTGGCATGGGACGTGAGGTTAGTCACGTGTGCATCGGAATAAGATAAATGATCTTTCGGTTTCTCAATGGTCGGATGGAATATATGCAGCCCACAACCCCAACAATGTAACTACCTACGTTTTAAATTTTAAAGCCATTCAGAGTGTCTGGTACTTTTCCACTTGGTTTTAAAAGTGAAATGGATGCATAGTACTATGGTAGAGCTGCTGCAAAGATTCGTTGAAATAGACCAGGAAAACTGATCGTGGGCGCAAAAAAGGCATTGGGTGATATTGCCGTTATTTCTTTATGTCGCAGCCAACGATGAAATATTTTTCTCCGATTAGACCAGACGTTGTCTGAAAAACGCTCATCTCCAATGATTAAAATCTCGGTTAATAATCATTATTTTTAAGGTTGCCAGGTATCTAAATTAAAGCTAAAACCAGTAGGAGAACCCGAAGTGAAGTTTAAGATTAATTCATTTCAAAGCGTTTAACAAGTACGAGGGATGTCTTTTAAGTTTTGCATATAGAAACATAGTAGGCCGCGCGGATCGAACGTCAGGACTCAATCTTAGCCTCACTCTTTAGTAAACTTAAATTCAAAGTTTCACAACAATACGTGCAGTGTTCTCACTACAGTGAATTTTTAAGTGTCACCAAGTCATTAGAAAAATGAAACTCAACCGAGAACATTTTCGCGCCATAATTTATTACAACTTTCAGAGACAATTATCGCAACAAGAATGCCTTGCTGTGTTACTGTCTGTTTTCGGCAACGAAGCGCCACATCAGTCGACAATTTCCCGTTGGTATGGAGAATTCAAACGTGGACGTCTTAGCGACGATTCGAGGGTGGGTGCACCAAAAACGGCAGTCACCCAGCAAAAGTCGATTCTGTGCGCAAACTCATCATTGAAGATAGACATGTGACATATCGCGAGATTGAGGCGTCCTTGAAGATCTGAAATACCTCAAATCAAAAAATTTTACATGAAGAATTAGGAGTAAGAAAATTAGTTTCTCGTTGGATACCCCACCTGTTGACTGAAGAGCAGAAAGCAGCCAGGGTTAATTGGTGTCAAAAAACGCTCGACCGTTTCAATTCCGGAAACTCAAAAAATGTGTACAGCATTGTTAGTGGTGATGAATCGTGGATTTACTGTTATGAACCAGAAAATAAACGACAGTCCGATGTTTGGGTGTTCCAAGGTGAAGAAAAGCCAACAAAAGTCACCCGTTCTCAAAGTGTTTCGAAAAGATGGTCGCGACATTTGTGTCAAAAGCGGGTCATATTGCAACAATTTCTCTTAATGAACAAATAACTGTTACTGCGGATTGGTATACCACCATTTGTTTGCCAAAAGTCATCACCGAGCTTTGAAAAATCAACCCCGAAAGAGGAATCATTCTCCACCAAGACAATGCAAGCTCGCACACAGCCCAAAAAACAAGGCGGAAGAAAACGTGGAATTATTGGACCGTCCTCCATATAGCCCCGATCTAAGTCCTAACGATTTCGTTACTTGCCCGAAAATTAAAAACAGACTGCGTGGTCAAAGGTTCCAGTCACCAGAAGAAGCAATTGACGCATTCAAAAATGCCGTTTTGGATCTGCCAGCAAGCGAATGGAACAAGTGCTTAGAAAATTGGTTCGAGCGCATGCAGATGAGTATTAATCTTCGTGGAGAATACTTCGAAAAACAATAAAGTCATTTAAAACTACAAACCGTGTTGTTTTATTTCCATATGCAAAACTTAAAAGACATCCCTCGTACATGGACGAATCTGCTTCCTATTATACTCGTTTGGTGTTTGTCAGCTTGACACCGGGTAAATTAAATTGCACTACACAATGAAAAAATGTAAATCTTATAAAATTGAACGTAGACAATGGTGAAATAGAGAACTGTTGATTTTATCAATATTCAGAACTAAATGGGAAAGACATAATTAATTAGATCGTCTGTATATTGTGTTGCATCTCGGAATTTGACAATATATCAAACAAGGTGCATGTGAGCAAACCTGAAACTGTAATCATTCAGAGTAACGTATCAATTTTTCTGGACTATTACGGTACTTATTTCTCAGACATCGTACTTTTAATTCTATTTCTGGGTCCAATTTTTTTGTTGTTATTGGGATCAGAAGCTTCTTAACAACAGACCGTTTTTGACTGAAATTAAAATGACCTGAAGCACTGAAACGTCAAAAAATGAAGTTCGAAAGTTTTTTATTTATTCATTTATCCTCAATCAATCTGCAACAAGAATTTTTAATTTTTTGAAGACGTGTAAGGTGCAGTCAGTGATTTTTGACATAACTAGTAATTCACACAATTTTTTTTCGTTTTATAGTTAAGAAATTGTTAATTGAGGTATAAATGGCGTATAATGGAAAACAACTCTTACTTATGTTGTCCACATGTGAATTTTAGGGGTTTAACTGAAGGTTAGGTTTGCCTGCTCGCTAATAGATCCTACGATTCGGCTTTTTGAATGTTGCAATTACAAAAATGATTATAAATTCGAGAATCCTCGGCAAAGAACTGAGTATTGCAAAGTTTCATAGTGGGCTGTAGATCTGAGATATATAAAATAAATAGCCGCGGTCCAAGCACAGATCCTTGCGGTACTTTGGAGGAAATGAGGGATATGGGAGACAAAACCATATCAATGTTTACCCTCTGAAATCTATTATCTAAAAAGGTCTGAATCATATTGGCTGATGTATCATAAAATCCGAAAAAATTACACTTGGCTACCAAAATACGATTATTTATCGAGTGGAATGCCTTAGAGAAGTTTAAAAGAAATAACGAAGTGATATCTGCTGGTCCCCGGCTTTAACAACGTTGTCACATCTAATAACGCAGCTGCAATATGACAGCCTTTTCGAAATCCGCATTGTTTGGGAGGCAGTATTTTAGATGTATGCAGATACTCGTTGCCCTGAAGGTACACAGCTTTTTCGAGTAATATTGATAATATAGTTAATATACAAATAAACTAAAGATACTCAGGCCTACCTCTGGACAAGGCAACACACTCGCAGCTAGAAAAGTAAAGTCGGCGAAACTTTCACATTTTTAGGCGCTAATGATGTTTTCTACAATATTCAGCCTGCAAATAATTAAAAATAAAAAAACTAATATCTTGTACTCACACATCATGGTCGCAGTCTTGCAAAACTCCCAGCAAAATAGTTTTGCGATGAAGAAAGTTGAACACAATGCAAAATCGGAATACTAGATATCATGCACACGACGCTATTCGCGAAAAGTTAATAAAATGGATAAATATACTATCTCCGCTTTATATATCTTACTTTAAAAACCTTAGTACGTAGTTTTACAACAGCTAAAATCTATGAGACGTTTTAACATTATTTACAAATTCAAAAATAGGATATGCAATAAAGTGGTAATGTAAATAACAATAAAAGTGTTGATTAACACTTTTGCAAAATGAAAACCTCGTATTGTACAGAGTTTATTCCTATCATTATATAACAGAGTTATAGAGTAGTCAACATAACTGAAAATTTGTTGCCTTTTTCATATTATATCAAAATATCACCATATTTATGATTAACCCAATATAAGAACATATTTATACAAAATCGTAACAGGTACCTAATGTCTATTCACTCCAAGGTATCTTTCAGTCTGTCAACTTGATAGGTAAACATCAAAATATGGAGCTCATTCAATTTCTTGATGTGTGCTATATAGTTTCTGATAGACTGCTCTGATTACGATTTTATTTTTTTCTCAAGTGAGATGGTTAAATCCCAATAGATGTACATTTTTAGAATTATGCGTCAAATCCGCACTAGTATTTTCAACATGATTATTTAAAACCTGAAGTTGAAAATTGTCATTTTTGGCTGATTTAACTGAAAATATCTTTCCACGAGGTAGGTAAAATATGGTTCCTATCAGTGTCGTAAAACAATTCACTGTGAAATTGCGATCATAAACATGAATTTTATTTTTTAGTTTTGGCTTAAACCAGCAATAAATCTATTCAAATGATGATTTATCTAGATTACTATTATACTGCATGAATGTTTCGTTTATCCATCGAAATTGCGCCAAAAACAAAGTCTCGTTTCAATAAGTAGTTAACTCAAATATTAAAGTCCTCTTAGAGTTGAGCATTCAGGTAGTTCTTCTAAATATGAAATATAAGAATGCTCATCTGTGCATGAAGCCTGTTGCCGTGTGTTAGTTCAACGTGAAGAGAGTGGTTGCTGAAAACAAAACAAAAATAGTAGCAAATAACTACTATTGGCGTAATTAAAATAACTTTTTGTGTGTTAACGTCGCGAAGTATTAGTTTACCGTGCGAAAAAGGCATTTGTTTGTGGAAGATTAGAAAAGACCTCACATACGTTTCAGTCCAAATTTTGCGTCGCACACATATCTCCTTGGTACGCCCCTGTCCATACATTGCCTAATGTTGCAACGACCAAAAATCCATGGGTTCGCTCCCAACCATAGGCAACCATAATAACATGACTAAGAGGTAGTACCTATATGTTGTAGAGTGCCAGAAAGATTACTTACCTGTATTTTGGAGGCCGGCTAAATTTCCTTAAAATTTGCCGTTCTCCTTCTTGTCCATTTTTATCCTAGGTCAAAAGACCTCCGCGGCATGCGTTCATTAAAACTTATCCTTTTAAAAGTGTCTAGCGGAATACATACTAAAATATGGGTTGATCGATTTAAAAAATACAAAATGTGATTGACATTTACGATATCCTGTGTAAAGCTGCATTTTACTAAAATGTACATGTAGTTTTTCGAATAGTAGCATAGTAAAAAGCTAATTTTCCACAATAATTGATTTTATTTATTTCTTCTAAAATCGATTTTTCACAAATCAATTTTTGCTGAAAAGAGATAAATCAATTTCTAAGCAATCGACTATTTTCACTTGATGTCACATTCCTAGCTTCATCTCCTCGGCTTGCCTCCTTATATACCTAAATAACTATTTTACGGAAATTTATTTAAAAACACAGAAAATGCAGAAAATGCAATATTATTGGGATTCAGAAACGTAATATTTGACATTCTTCAATTATAAAAAATAGCAGATCTATAGGCCTGTAGTTGTAATAGTAGCTCTTAGGTTCCTTTTTTGAGATGGGATGGACTCTGTGTCGTAGCAAAGGCATTCACCGGGTGTTGCAAAGTAAAGGCTTAACTGTTGACGAAACTGTGACAAAAATAGAGGCACTTCGTCTTTATATCGAAGAAAAACGGGGTCACATTGTGAAAGACACAATAGATACTGCTACAAAAAAATCAGAAGACTTCGATATTCCAACAGAAAGATGACTTCGTCGTAAAAAACGGGTGGTTGGTGAGATGGCCAGTGATGCAGTAGTCACACTGAAAGAAGAACTTCAAAAAGATGTGTTGTAATGTCTTAACCGATTCAGAGTTGAACTCGAGACAAGAACAAAGTCTCTTCAAGACCTAGCTTCATTGTTCGAAATCGTACAAAGAAATACTTTGCTTTTGGCGAATACTGAAGAACTGAAATTAGCTACATCCAAATTTACTGATTTTTATGATGAGGTCTCAGAAACAAGATTACTTTTGGAGATACCAAGACTGCGAAGACACTTAAAAGCAGCTAGTGTTACAGATTCTGATCGGGTATCTCTAGATTTTTTGAAGTTTATTGTAGAATGAGATTTTACAAAGTCTCTGCCAAATCTTATGATTGCACTAAAATTGTTCATTTGCGTGTCCGTAGCTTCAGGTGAAAGGAGTTTTAGTAAAATAAAATTAATAAAAAACTATTTGCGGGTAACAATGACCCAATCTTGGCTTAGCAATGTTGGGATATTAGCCATCGACCACGAAGCAATACAAAATATAAATTTTAATGAAGTTATTTCTGAGCTTACAGCTGTCAAAGCTGGAAAGAAGAGATTAATTGTAAGATAAAAATATTTTTTCTGTCTTATTTTTTATTTTGTTTTGTTATTTGTTCAGTATTTTAAATGCATACCATATTAAATGATCCATGACGTTTATAAATCATATAAAACTGATTGCTTTTGAATTTCGATGGGGGACACCACCAACTTCCGCACCGGCTGCCCCCAAGGTAGGTACGCCATTGGCTGGACATGAGCAAATTTCCAGTTTTCTGGGAAGAAGCCGGATTCGTAAGATATCCGGAAGAGACGCCAAAGAACTAGAGCAAGCTCCGCTGCACACCTCTTCAATACAACGGAGGAATCAAGTACGGACCAGAAGCTTTGTTAATGTCGAGCGACAAGAGCACCCCTCTTACGGTCTTATGCCTGAATGTTACTTCCCGCATAGTGTAGGTAAAACCCTTTCAATCGACGGCTCTCGGGCGTTGGTGGGATGTCCATGGTGGAGTTGGCAGCAAAAATATTGGCAAGCACTTCCGCCTTATCCTTTGGGTCGGTTATACCCGTTCCATCCTGATACGTAAGTGGCAGTTAAAGACACAGAAAATGTCAGTACCAGTCCAATATCATTATGATTCAAAAATGTAATATTTGGCATTGTTTAATATAGAACCTATTATAAAAAAAGTGTAATAAATAATGATATAGTACAATGAGCAATATTGTTAATAAAAATCAACTGGGATTTTTGCATTGCTGGCAGTCTTCCATGGCATCTTGGAACTCTTCGATCTGTAATGTCATCTCAAAGAAGTTGAATTTATCGTGGACGTCTTTCGTTGCCATCATCAAGACATTCTGTGGATTGGTTCCAGCACCTTGAAGAAATTATATTAATAAGTATAAATGAATTGGCATTAACTTTAGAGTAGGTTCGTCCAAAAATTTGCCGACTTTCATTATCAAAGCCTCATAATATTTATAAGATCAATAAGGACATATTTCAAATGATGTGTTTATAATAGATATCAAAAATCCACCTCCTACAGGGGTGGGAGGCCCCAGTGGTAGTGACACTAATGTGAACATTGCTGTGTATGATTTAACATTTAGTGAAGATTCTCCTCAGTGTGAAATAAATTCCAGCGTCAACTCGAGCAAATACAACGCTGCGATAACAGAGGACCGGCATTCCATCTCAGAAAAAAAACAACAACAACAACCACGACTGTTTGAGATTGAAAACGCTAAGTATTACTCAAATAATAATATTTATGTGTTTATTGAGAAGACCAACAGCCAAAATATTGGCAGACTACATCCGCTTCACGTAGGACATATACTCCACAAAAACCTTAAATTGAATGATAAAATAACGACTATTAGCCGCGTCGGCTTAAATCGTATAAAAGTAGGTCTCAAAAATTTGAACGATGCTAATCACTTAGTTTGTAACACTGAACTCGCAGCAGAGAATCTAAAAGCATACATCCCAAATAATTTATTAATAAGAAAGGGTTTAATCAAGGGTGTTGATACTCAGTTTAGTGAGGAATATTTAAAAGAAAATATAATTTCTGATATAAGCGTACTGGAGGTCAAGCGTCTAAAGAGAAAAATTGTTAGTGATGGCACTCATCAGTTAGTTCCTAGGCAAATGGCAGTTGTCACATTTAATGGCAATATGCTTCCCAACGAACTTTATATAAACAGCGTGCTATTTCAAGTTGAGCCATTTGTACAAAGGGTAATACAATGCTATAAATGCTTGCGTTTTGGACATGTTTCTGGACAGTGTCGCAGTACTCACTCCAGGTGTATTATATGTGGCCAAGTCAAAGAGGATGAACATACATGTAATGAAACCAATACTTACTGTCTTTTCTGTAAAAACTCTTCGCACAGATCCACATCAAAAGATTGTCCTTCGTTTCAGAAGCAACAAAAAATTAAAAAGACCATGGCCACATCAAATCTACCCTTCACAGAAGCCAAAGAATTTATAGAACACTCTTATTCAAACCATGTTTCAACCTCCAATAGATTCCAAGTATTGGAAAATATCAACGAAGTAACCTTCCCACATCTCCCTAGCCGCCCTCAAACAATTTCTCCTAGCAGGCAACATGTTCATCAGATGACAAATACTGGACCTTCCTCTACAGCATTTAGTGCAAATAAAAAACGTAAAGCTCAATCACCCCCCATAAATTTTCCGACAGAGAAACATTTTTTTAGTGCAGGACCTCCTAATCCAGTAACTTCAAGTAGGATCTATCAGTCGAATATTTCAGAAAAAAACGAAATGGTTGACATAGTTTCAAAAATTTTTTTTGAACTTGTAAACAAATCCGAAAATTTAGGTGATCTTAAAAAAATCAGTAATAATACATTGAAAAACGAAATACATTGCATAATAGATAAGTTAATAAATTCCACTTAGCGTCTTCAATAATACCGATAATGTGCTAAAGGTGATGCAGTGGAATGCACGTTCCGCTGTGTCCAATCGAAACAGTTTGAATATGTTCCTTTCAAAAAATGATATTGACGTAGCCCTAGTAAGCGAAACTTGGTTCAAGCCAAACGATACTATCAGATATCATGGCTACAATATTGTAAGGAGGGACAGAATTGATGGCAAAGCTGGTGTAGCCATTTTTGTGAAAAAAGGTATAAAATTTTGTGAAATATCATTTTCAAATAATTTTAATGATGATATACTTGTATGCGGGATAAATCTTATTAACCAAACATTTGATTTAACTTTGTTATCTATATACAGGCCCCCGAACATCAATTCAACAGCTGGTGATTGGGACACAATCTTCTCTAATACCAGCATATCTTCTATTATTGGTGGAGACTTTAATGCACACTCTCATCTCTGGGGATCCTCATTTAATAATTCCATAGGTTATCAGTTAATAAATATATGCGAATCAAAGAATTTAGTCGTTATGAACGATGGTTCGCCTACTAGGCTTGTAGCTCCAAATCAGCAAGTAACTGCTCCAGATGTTACAATCTGCTCCCGAGATATTGCACAAATAAGTCATTGGCAACTTACTTCTGATACATTAGGTTCGGACCATTTTCCTATTCTTATGTTTATTCCTCTATCTTTCCAAGTATATGACACAATCTATCCTAAGTATAAGTGGAATATGAAAAAAGCCAATTGGTGTTTGTATCATGACTTATTGGAAGATATTTTCGATTCTACTCCAGAATTTTACTCCACTCAAAGTAAATACGATTATCTCATTGAAAAGATCAATGATGTTAGCGAGATCTCCATCCCTATACTAAGGCCATTTAAAGCTAAGAAACGGCCACCCCCTCCTTGGTGGGATGAACAGTGTATAAGTGCCATAGCACAAAGGACCTCAGCTTTAGCAACGTACAAACAGGACAGTTCTTTAGCCAACTTCGTCCACTGCAAGAAGGTATTTGCTGAAACAAAGAAACTCTTCAAACAAAAATCAAAAAATAGCTGGAAAGCATGGATATCTAAGTTGAATAAAAATACGTCATCAACCGATCTCTGGAAACAGGCTAAAATCATCAGAAGGATACCCATGGGAAAGAAAGCATCAACTAATTCTGATTGGGCAGACGACTTCCATAGAAAATGCTCTCCGTCCTTCGTGGCTGCAGAAGTCGAACCTCCCCCACGTTTACATCAAGACAACTTTTTCAGCAGATCTTTCAACATGACGGAACTAAATCTTGCAGTTAAAAATACCAGAAACACATCACCTGGCTGCGATGATATCACATATCCAATGCTCGTGAACCTCCCATCTAATGCAAAACTATTCCTTCTGGATATATTTAACAACATTTGGCTGAATGCAGACACAATTAGCCAATGGAAAAACATCGTTATAGTTCCAATTTTGAAGCCAAACATGGATCCCAATTGCGCTGACTCATATCGCCCGATATCTCTTTTATCCTGCGTCATGAAGACTTTTGAAAGATTGATCAAAAATCGCCTGGAATGGTGGTTTAGATCTCATCCACTTCCTAACAACCAATATGCCTTCAAGAAAGGAGTTGGAACAGCAGACGCTATTACGAATATTGTCACCGACATTCAGATGTGTTTCACGCGAAACAACTACTTAGCAGGCATCTTCATAGACATTACAGGTGCATATGACAACATCAATTTAAACATACTTCGAAACAAACTGGAAAAATTTGGCATCCCACCTCACTTTAGTTTTACTGTAACAAACCTATACCGTGATAGGAATATTTTTCTACGCAACGACAGTGGCGGAAAGATTGGACCACGACTAGTACAGGAAGGTATCCCACAGGGCGCAGTTTTCGGCCCAATTTTATTCAATATCTTTTCGGCAGACTTACATGATGTGCAAACCCCATGTCAGCTGGTCCAGTATGCAGACGATATTTGTGTATATATAGAGAACCGTCAACTTAATCAATGTGTATCTACGCTAAATTCTTCAATGGAACACTACAAACAGTGGCTAATGGAACATGGTTTCGACATATCGTTGAAAAAATCATCCTTTTGCGTTTTCTCACGACACAATGTATCATTACAGAGGAACATACTACTGGGAGGGTTATCCTTCAAAGTTGAAACTTCTGTCAAATATCTCGGCGTAATCCTTGACAAAAAGCTCACATGGAAGCCGTATATCGAACAAGTAGTCAGTAGATGTGAGAAAGCCTTCAATTTTTTCCAGATGATCTGCAAGGTATGGTGGGGCTCCGATCAAAAGATCGCAATATTATTCTTCAGATCATATGTTAGATCTATCCTTGATTATGGCAGCATATTCTATGGCTCTGCCAGTAAAAATCTCCTTCATGTGCTAGATATAACTCAGAATAAATTTCTCAGGAAATGTCTTGGAGCAATGCAATCGTCACCAGTCGGACCTTTGCGAGCAGAAGCACAGGAGCCTCCTTTACATCTTCGAAGGCAAATGTTATCTAGCAGATTTCTACTTAAGGTACAACACGCGGACAGCCACTTACTCAGCAAAATTCATCGTCTAAACACCATGGACTTGACATGCAAATATTGGACCAAAAGAAACTCTCCGCCTCTATGCAGTGCCATACAATATGCCAACAGAATACAACTAACCTCTCATAGCCAACGATTGATCCAAGATATAAGTTACTTTCATTTACTATCAGGGTTTGATGTTAGAGTACCAGCTTACAAGCAACAACCACACCACATTCAGAACCTACTTCGAGAAGTGCAGAGTAAATTAGCAGGTGATGTATTCATTTACACCGATGCATCGAAGTCGGAGTCAGGAACGGGATGCGCTCATTATATTCCTTCAATAGATATTTTTTCCATGTTTAAACTACCAAATGAATTCACGATTTTTTCTGCAGAAGCTATTGCTATATTCCAGGCCCTACAGTTTGTAGAGGACCACAATCTTGGTAACACGTCTATATTCTCGGACTCCCTCTCTGTTGTCAGTAGTTTAAAAAACGGCAGTCCTTTCGATATGCAAAATATACACTTATTCAACATAAGATGGAAAATAAGTCAGCTAAAACAACGAGGCCTCAGGATTACACTAGTTTGGGTGAAGGCCCACTCTGGGATAATACACAACGAAAAAGCTGACGATCTAGCAAAGATGAGTATAACATCTGGAACTAAGCTGGACATACCCTTAAGCATGCAAGACAATCGAGTGATACTTAAAGGTAATTTGCTCAAGCGATGGCGCAGTGAATGGATAGAATACTGTTTTACTAATCCTACAAGATACAACCTCATACACCCTAGCCTGCCACGAGGATACTGGCACGAAAATTTCAAAATACCCAGAAAATATATTTCTTGCATCACCCGTGCGAAAATAGGACATGGTGTTTTTCCATCACACCTTGCAAGATTAAATTTGGTCCCATCTGCACTGTGCGATGTTTGTGAAGTTTATGGTGACTTGGATCACTGTTTCTTTGGTTGCGCTAAATTCCTGGATCACTGCAATGCACTCTACTCCGATTTGGTGAAATCTGGTATATCTGCCCCCCTAAATACATCTCATGTATTTTCGCTAGGTAGATCTGATGTGATCATTCTCGTTGTTAAATTTATCAGAAATTCTGGCATCAAAATATAACAATCGTATTTTAGTTATCCTCTGTTTTTTGTACCTTTATGTATAAATATATCCTTCATATCCGTGGCCTAATTGTTGTATGTGAAAAATGAAAAATGCCCTGACGGGTCCCTGGGCGAGAAGAACGTGTGTCCCTGTCTGACCCATCCTCTCTCCTCCCCCTTAGAGTTGCATAGGTTTAATATGTAGTTATGGTATCCTTTAGACACTAATGTCATCTGAAAATTTGTGTGTAATGCTTAACCCCCGCCCCCTCCTGATAACACTTTCTTAGTTCTTCTATATTTACTTTTTTGTTTTTCATCCAGAGTGGAGAGTGTGCATTAGAAGAAATTTAATAATCATTTTCTCCATACTGTTTGTTAAGTACTTGCTCCTTCGCCCAAATACGACTGTGCCACCAAAATGTCTTTCCTGCAATACCCTGATAGCTGAGGGGATCTGCTTGCTACGTCATTGCCATTTTACACGTCTTAAATTATATATGTCTGTATGATATAATAGATAAATACTTGATTCTGGCTAATGGGGCAATGTCCTAGTGCCAAAAAAAAAAAAAAAAAAAAAAAAAAAATCCATAAGGGCTCGCGCAGCCTGAAAGCGTTCAAGCGTTCCGAGTTCTGCGTTCTGCGTTCCACGTTCTTTGTAACTAATAAATCTCTATAGAGTCGCGCAGACACAGCGGCAGTCAGACCGCGATGGTCAGTGTGAACGCTCGCGTTCTTGCGTTATATTTTCAGAAATACAAAGAACTCGAAGAACACCTCGTTTGCAAGATGGCTTTCATTGAAAAAATAATTGATTTACTAAGGGAAAGGCCTTGTTTTCATAAGATCCTAGTAGCGCAGACTATGAAAAAAGTTAAAAAAAATGAAGCATGGCTTGAAATAGGCACGGAAATGAGAAAATACTGTCAATCTTTCTTTTGTAGATATAGCCTTTTTCCAGTCGGTTTCTTGTTTCTCTATTTAATTTTTTATGTAATCATGCACTTCATTAAAACTACTTAATGACATTCGGAAGTAAATAAAAAATCGATCGTCATCTTCAAGCAATGCATCATGTACCCAGTATCTTTTTTTTTCTTATTAGACTCTTCGAAGCTATACAAAAGCAATGCTTCTTCGTCTTCTGAAGACTGACTATCGAAATACATGTTTCACCTACAAGTAATCATCGTAAAATGAAACGCAGTGTTCGCGACTGCCTCCTGTCTGTGTTAGAACTCGTAATTGACCGAAAGAACGCGGCTTGAGCGCTGAACTCTGAACTCTTGTCTGTCTGCGCGAGCCCTAATAGATGAAGACGTTAAATTAGAACGACCCATCGACAACCAGAGGCAACAACCATTTGTACCATATTCAACTACTTCAACCCTAATTTGGAGTATTTCTTTTTTATTGAACTTTGATATAAACTACATTTGAACCATACATTTATTGGGGTAGATAAGCGTTGTGGGTTCTGGACGCTTTATGATGAATTCATAAAGATGTGAACCCATAACGACTTTCATCTGCGATAAAATTGGATAAAACAGCGAATTATCCCTTACCAGCGTTAACTTTGTCGGTACTTACTTATAGCAACATGTGCTGACATGGCGACCTTATCGAGACTAAGAGCCCATATTCTGAGGTTGTGGACTTTCTTGACCCCCTCAATGTTGAGAAGGATATTCATGACCTCTTCAAAATCAATTCCCTTTGGTATAGCTTCCATCAGTACCAATACTGCATCCTTCATTATAGCGAATGTTGTTATCAACACTAACACCGAGAAGATGAATGTGCAGATCGGATCCACTATTATCCAGTCTCTCTGAAAGAAAGTCAAAAATTAATTAACTACTGAAATGAAAGACGAACCTATTATTTTGTGTCCTTTTTCTTGGAATATCTCAAGTTCACAGCACTTAGGTCACAATGGATCACTTGTACGTCCTTTCCAAGGGTCCTAAAGGCTGGATCATCATCCCCCTGGTAGGCTGGAGAAGACTCTAGAACAGCGAGAAGTGGCACTCGTGGCCTTTTTGGACATTGAAGGTGCATTCTGGAGGAGGGTGGGCCTAGGAGAAGAATAAGAATCTTATCCGACAGCCAGGCTGCAATGAAGGCACTAAGTGCCTATAAGATCACTCCGAGTCTTGTATTGCAATCCAGGGAGGCTCTGGATTGCCTCGCAGCGAGGCATCCGGTATCGTTAATGTGGGTACCGGGGCACGCTAGGATAAGGGGCAATGAGACGGCGGACGCTTTGGCGAAGACAGGATCAGCCAGCAACCTCGCTGGTCCTGAGCTAGCTTTAGGAGTGCCCGCGCATAGAGTTAGGAGGATAATAGAGACGTGGATTGCAAGACAACACTCCCAGACGTGGAGAAGTAGCTCCAGACATCTCCGCCAGGCATGGGAACTCTTTGAAGGGCCCAGTGCTAAGGATGAACGTTTCTGCTTATCTCTGGATAGAACCAACCTAAGGTTGCTGGTGGGACTGTTTGTCTGGAGATAACACGTTAAGGCACCAACTGCACGTCATGGGGGTAGCTGAGGATCCCTTGTGTGAGCGCTGCGGGGTAGAGAAAGAGACCTCGGCGCACATTATGTGTCGCTGTAAAGCTCTGAGCTACTATAGGCAGACTATACTGGAGTCCATTACTTTGGACCATCAGGACGTCAAGGAGCTTGGACTTAAGGCCGCACTCAACTTTGCTAAAAGGCGAGGCTTGTGATCTAAGGAATGTAGAGGTGCATAAGGGCCCGTTTAAGCGGCCTATGCACTGGATCCTTATGGTGTCTGGAATGACTCTAATCTCACGATTCATTCATTCATTCATTATCTCCATTTTTTAGATAGATGTGAGCCACAATAGACCAGTGAGTCGCAGTGGGGGATCGTGATTCACCCGCTCACAAAAAATCTAAACTAACCCTTTCTGCCAGCCGAACAGCTGTGATATCGTCCTTGGCAACAGATCTATTGTTGCTGATAGAGGATTTCACCAACTGCTAATCTAGTACTGTTAACAGTTAACAGCAAACTGGACCCATTGTCGATAAAGTTACTAAAATACTTGACTTTACCGATAAACTTATTTCACCATTCAAGTTTGGTATCATTCAAACCATTTATGCATGGCATGCATATACATGAATAATAAATATGGTAATTACTGATGGTACCTGTAATGCGATATCAAATTTGGAAATCATGGACAGATTGGAATTTAGTTTATAAATCGAATTTTAGAGGAAAACATAAAAACAAATTGAGTTATACATTACATTGTTTTAGGAATAATAGCATTATTGAGATAAATGCAATATTATACTTTAGTTGAGCCGTTTCTGAATGATACCTAAAGAAAGCTGAAATTTTGAAAACAAAAATGGAAAATAGATAAAATTAGGAATTACGTGTTTTTCCTATTTTAAACGCCATATAAAGTGGAGTTACGTGGTTTCTTGTGTTAACAACGAAATGTCAAAATTGTAAGACAGAGAAGAGATTTTTAAATGAGAAGTGGTTCTAAGCCAGGAAACATGTTCTAAAAATAGGGATATATCCCTTTCTAATGCATCTATGAGGAAGAAGAAATGCAGGCAACCCATGCTGAGAAGCCAGAAAAAGGTTGTGGTGCGTTCTAGGACGATATCCACAGATGCATTACTGGTGGTGGCTGGTGTCCCGCCCACTGATTTGCTGGCTTAGGTAAGACATGCGCTCTAGAAGTAGAGAGCTAGAGCAAGACACACTCTTTGTTAGATAGTGGGAGAGATAGAAGAATATCACACTTCTGGCAGAGAAGGCGGACAGAGTAGTGCTGAAGTGCTTTTCTGCGTGAAAGTGACTACAAAATCTGTCCCATGTCCATACGGGCGAATCAAACCTATAATTTCCGAGTCTCCGTACGATTTTTTTTCAAATTAAATTGGTACAACTTCCTTACCTTGAAATAGATAACAATGGCTGCCAAAAAGACTCCAAAGCTCTGTAAGAAGTCTCCTAAAACATGGATGAAAGCTGCTCTGACGTTTATGTTTTCGTCTTTATGGTTGGACTGTCCTCCTTCATGACTATGACCATGGTGACTATGACCATGCTGGTGAAGTGTGAATCCCATACTGAAATGGATAGTTTGATATTAATGTTCTAGACAAATAGAAAATTCTAAGAACTGACAACAGAATCACTTCTTCAACATTTTAAGATTCCTTGAATTGAAATATAGATATTACATTATCAAAATATTTCAAAATCCTGGCTAAGTGATATACCTGAAAACCTGCAGTATAGATGTAGGTTGTTAATATAATAGACAAGTGCATGCAATGATAAAAGTATACACACTTATCATACACTGCATCAAGAAAAGTTCAAAGCAGCATATGTCCACAAAGGTCCACAATACGTATGTTATGCAAAATTTAGGGACAGATATTCAGCACGTAAAAAATAAAAAAAGTTCAGATAATTATCAGTACGGAAATTTCACATTTCCATATACTGTTCGAACTCATCCGCCTTTAAAAAACTGTACGCCACTAAGGACCGATTTTACCCTCCGGAGTTGAACATTTGCTCCCCATATTAAGTCAAAAACTTCTTCATAAATCAACTAGTTAAGCTATAAAATATTATTTCTTTAATTGATCTCGAGAGCAAAATCGACCAATCAGAGAGAACGATTTATTCCTTGTTCGATACATGAATCAAATTTTAAACAATACCTAGATCAATATAACAGCAATTAACTGAACATTTTTATTGAAAATAATAGTGTCACTTTTAAATTGAATCAGATAATTTTGTAAAAAAGGATGTATATTCACACATTTATCAACATTGAATGGCCGTGTAATGTTGTACCATGAGCTGATAGAGCGGTTGCATAACCCGCCTTTGTATCTTTTCCGACCTGGAACTAATCTGCGCCATCTGGCTTGGCGGGACGGTACTAAATAATGATTATGAGCCCGAAAAACTAGCCCTCAACAGGTGTCTTTATCTCACAGGTTAGTCAAGTGAAATGAGTATATACTTGGTGTTTTTTAAAGAATAAGCATTCTGTAATTTAACTTATGTCTTCACTGAATATACTAAATAGAAATTTTTACCGCAATGACAGAAATCATCGATCTAGTTTGACTGATTTGCTGCAATCCTAGAACAAAAAAAACGTGTTTGTAATGGACATTATTAGGTAATTGTTGATATGTTCAGGTTATTATGAGCCGATATGTCCTTTTTTAATTTCTTAGGCATTTATGTTCATTTTTAATTTGATTCTATTATTCGAAATTTGCAACCAGGATATGGTATCTACTTTTACTGTATTAATTAAATTTTGCTTCTGGTTACTACTAAAACGTGTCCTGATTGGTCGATTACACTCCATGGGATCAAATGAAAAAATAGGTTTTTGTAGGTCAGCTAGGTGAAACTACCTTCAATTCGGAAATAAGAGTCCCTTTTAACGCTATGCTACTACGCGTCAGATCGCTGACCAATGGTTTGGAGAAGAAGATAGGCCTGTTACTATGCGTACACTCTATCGCCGCATTCGAGCCTTTGGAATTTTTAGATATCGTCCACAGTTAGTGCTTCCTCTGACTGCGGACCACTCTCGTCAACGTTTGAAGTAGAGCAGAGAACGGCAACATTGGGAAAATAGTAAAATCGGTCCTAAGTTTTGCAAAAACAAGTGTCGTTTTACTTACATCAGATTGACAATGACGCCCACTCCCGAAGTGATCAACATAAGCTTAGCATCGATCTCGTAAGGCTGTCCAATAAGTCTTTGTACTGCCATGTAGACCAGCACCCCTGTGACAACCCAGATCAGCAGAACTGACGTGAGGGCTCCAATAACCTCAGCTCTGTACCAGCCAAATGACATTTTCTTTGTTGAAGGCCGAGTGGCCATAAACAGAGAGAAAAGGGATATCATGAAACTGGCAAAGTCTGTGAGGAGATGAGCTGCATCTGAAGCTATGGCTAAGCTGTTCGAGAGATATCCCCCTGAAAAGAAAACAGTAGTTATTAGATCATCAGATTAAGAAAGGGACAGCAAAACTCACATTTTCGAACTTTTCACTAAATTTATGTAATATCGGTGTCTTATTTTCCATTTACAAATGAACAACTGAATTACTTCGTGTTATCTGTATGAGGTGTACCATAGGGGTAGATATTGATGCCTTGTGTGGTTCATTTATTTATCCATCAAGTGTCACACTTTTTTTATAATACCTATTGCAAATTTATAATATTTTGAATAAATACTACTCAAAATAGCTTTGTGAGGTTGTTTTTTTAGAAATACAGTGTATGTAAAGTTTGCAAAAGAGGAAAAGTTTTGCAGCTAGACCCGTTAATTATATTACAAAAGATACAAAGAATGACGTGAACTCACGATATAATATGAGCTTTACAAAAGTCTCTTTCCTAGAAAACGGGTAAGTAAGACTTGAACTTTGAAAAGGGTTTAAAAGGTAAACCTTGTGTCTTAAACATTTGATTCTTTTAAAAACGTTTCGATTCGCCAAAAAATTCTTGCCGACTTAAAAACAAAAAATAGAGAAATATGGTTAGCATGTTTTCTTGCTAATAAATTCTGTTCTCGCAATGACAAACACATTTGTTTTTGTTTTTATTCACCTGTGCAGGGTACTTTCAGAGTTGAGTCATTTATTATAACTGCTTGTAGGACTCCTCAAAAGGAGTTGATATACCTACTGAAAATCACCTATATAAAAGTTGCATAATAAAAGAAATAGTAAAAGATTGAAAATTTTGAAAAATAAGAATGTTATTACACAGATTTTTTGATATTCCGGACCCCTGCCGTGTTTTTTGTTTACTATTCTTATCGTTTATCTAAATTTGGCCAACTTGTTGTGTTATTGTCTGGTTTTCAGTACGAGCCTTTGGTTATATCAGTCTTTTAATTATTCGATTATTTTGTGCGAAAAAATGGCCCATGTTGACGAAAACAATGAACTAGTAGACATAATACGGAGAGTGCCAACAAAATGCAGCCGCAGCATGAAGGTTTTATATGGAAGGTTTCCTTTAAGAAATCATCTGGCCCCACGAATTGTTGCAAATTTAGTTATTAGACTTCATGGCGCAGGATATTTAACCCTTAGTCACTGAGACCTCAGCACATATTTATTTCTATATATCTTACCCCTACTTCAGTATAATCAGTCAATATCCTCGGTACCTTCAAGTGACCACGTGGTCAGTTTGTCGCTAAAAGTTGAAGGTGACACTTTTATCGATTTACAATAGAAATACGACAAAAGTTACAGAGTTACAGAGCGGTCACAGTGACCGGTTTACGGTGTCTATTATGTTATTATATCTATTAAGAGTTTTGTATAGCCAGTGTGATTTCCTGTCATCTTTGTGGATTATCTTCAAGAATGAATCGGAATTATACTACAGGGTTTCGCAATTGGGATGACAGGTTTTTGACAGCTTACTGCCCCCATCTTAGTTGTCTATTTTCCGACAGCAGCTGAGTTATTTTGTGTTCAGTAAGGCAGTTTGGAAATCGTCTAAATATTCTATCAAAAATATGTAGAAATAAATGATGTTCGATGTTTTTATTTTGTTAAATGAAGTATGGTAAAAATCATATGTTATGTGTTATTTCAGGCCTCATTCTACTCTGCCTGAATATTTAAAACACTCAAAATATTTAATTTTTTGTAATTAAGATTGTTAGTAATGATGGGTCACTGAGACCGTACTACGTTAATGACGTTACACTTTCTGCACTACGGTAGTTAAAGGTTAAAAGAACAATGAGGAGGTAATGGTGGAAGACCTGCTCAACCTGAAATGCTACAAGTTGAGGAAGGGATTTTAGAAATGGTCGAAGACGACCTAACAATGAGTACTAGAGCCATAGCAGCTCAAGTTGAAGTTTCTCATAGCAAAGTGTGTTAAGGCTGCTACACACAGTGCCGGCGGCAGGGCCGCCGGGCAAGCCGCCGGCTAAGCCTCTGTACACCCGGCGGCATACAAAGCCGCCGGCCTTGCCGGCAAAGGAGCCGCCGGCATTGCCGCCGGGGTGTGCCGGCGGGTAACGCGGCTTGCCGGCGTCACTTCGTTCCTGGCATTCGAGCGGTAGTGTTGTGCGGTTTGTGTGTTTAAACAAATTAAAATGTCCTTTAATTGGGGCGACGAAGCTGTGCTGCTCTTAATTGAAAAATTTCATGAAAATGATATATTATGGAATCCCAGAAATGCAGTCTATAAGAATAGGAACAATCGAATGGACGCATTGAACATAATTGCAAGTGTATTTGACATTGATAAAGGCGAAGTAGAGAGAAAGTTAAAAAAAGTAACCTCTCATTATTTTCGGGAAACAAAGAAGTTCGAACAGTTGCACAAATCTGGTGCAGGTATAGACGATGTACAGAAACCCAAAAAACATGCTATTGCGCAAACGCTGACACCCCACATCATCTTTTTTATACTCTTCTATCATTACAGTACGGTTCCGCCATTTTCTATTTTGTAAACTTGGGTGCAACCAAAACCTTCACGTCCTTTTGTATTTTTTTCTTATTAAAATAAAAATTACAACTGCGGCGGCTGTGCTGATGATTTCCTTATTCATTTTAACCAACCAACCATAAAATATGCACTTCACTAGCGTTCTATGTGACTGTCACAACCGGAATGATGCTTGGCGGCTTTGCGCGGCTTGTGCCGGCGGCTTGTATTGCCGACGGCATAGCCGCTCGGCATAAACCCGGCGGCATTGCCGCCGGCACTGTGTGTAGTAGCTTTTAGACAATACGACAACAGCAATATTATCCTTATCATAATCAACGGGTACAAGCGTTCCAACCTGAAGATCATCCTAGAAGGGTTGCACAATTTCCAGAACAATCATTTTTAGGTAGCATGCTGTAAAAAGAACTCATAGATTTTCATTAAATGTTTGGGCTGATGTGGTAAATGGCATGCTTATTGGACCCTACTTTTTCCACTTCGACTGGCTGGTGAAATTACACACTTCATTTCAGACGAGAAGTCCGTGAACATCTAAATAATGAGCTTACGAATAGATGGATAGGGCCCAATAGACCCATTTCTTGGCCTGCTCGCTCGCCGGGTTTAACGCCTTGCGATTTTTTTTCTGTGAGGCTATTTGAGTTGCTGTATCATGATGGAGCAGTAAATACTCTAGAAGAGCTTCAACAGCGTTTACACTATCATATTATGCAACTTTTTTTATAGGTGATTTTTGGTATATCAACTTCTTTTGACCAGCTCTATAGAACGATACAATGAATGACTCAACTTTGAAAACACCTTGTATAATGAGATTATAATTCAAGCAGGAACATATTATTTATGACAATACGTTTTTTTGTATTAGATTTCCGCTAACAAATACCACTTAATACCTAATTTCTTTTCTATAACAAATGGTTTAAAATAAAAGGTAGATTTACAAAACAATTAGTGATACCTTAATCAATATGCTCGTATTCACGATCTTCCTATAATTAGCTTTTATTATGCATGTTTACCATTCAATATAAAGCGCAGTTAAGTCACTAAACAATTTTTACATCGACTTTTCGGCTTTAGGACTTGTATCACTAAAATTATTTCAAACAAAAACGTTTAAGAACAACGAAAGTTTGTTGAAAGTTCTTTCGTATTAGTATGAATAGGGACTTTACAAAGAATGATTTAATATTTCGGATCGCTTCTTTTTTATATTTTTGAAAAGATAATCTGAAAACAATGTTCACTTACCCACTATCTCTCCAATCATAAAAATCACACATAGTATACTGGCAATTATAAGTTTCCTCCTAGCTCTTCTATCCACATCGGGTATCTCTGACTGATGACAGTGTTTATTCACTAATAAATAAAAATCAAAATTAATCATTTGTCAGTTCATAATGTATTAAAAAATATGACAGCAGTATTGGCTTAGTTTTGTTTAGGATGATTCTATACCTTTCAACGACTGTTTTATCGTGTTATAAAACGTAGATGAAGGTGCCCTAAATGATACCCTTCCCCAAAAGTGTATAAATAGTAATTTGAAAAGTGTGTAAAGCTTGACTGATTTTGTTCTGGGTTGGTGTGGCAGCGAAGCACTATTAGTCTAATCATATTAGACGAAAATACACCTGGTTTGCGAAATAATTCTTAGGTCTAGTTTTATTGCTGCAAGCTGCTCAAGGGGGTATTCAAAACATGGACGTATAAAATGGGTACACCAATTTTTGTAAGAAAACTTTTTATTCGACAAAAGAATGAGAAATCGTGTTTTTTTGGGATTCAATCTAAATAATCGGCAGAGAAGAAAAACTCTCCTTATAAGATTTTTAAATATATATATATATATATATATAATAGCAAAACCGAGGCAAACTGCAGGTCTTGGCACGTGTTGGTAATGCGACGACGGTTTCTCGCAGTTATTTGAAATTCTTCAAATTCGTAGGATTGATACTTCTAAATAACCACAACAAAATTGGGGTAGATTGGTCAAGTAGTTTGTGAGAATTTCTAATTGTTTATCCCAAGACATCTGTTTTCCGACCATCACTACTAGTTTTTTTGAGCAATATACATGGGTTAGTTCAACGGGCATTTTATAGCAAAATACACTAGTTTACCTGGCCGATATGAATCGAAAACTATTCCGGAAGATAAATGTTATTTTTATGCAAAGAAGGAAGGGTTACGTTTTTTCTTCTAAACAAATTCAAAAATTTCGTATTTGTGAGTAACTGGCAACAAAAGACGATGGACATCCGCTTTGTTTTAAAATGTGTATAGTAACGTAGGTATTTCGAGTATCGTAGCGCATTTGCTCAATTACTTACAAATACGAAATGTTTGAATTTGCTTTGAAGAAAAAAACGTAACCTTCGTTTATCGCATAAAAATAACATTTACCTTCCGGAATGGTTTGTAATTCATATCGGCTAGGTAAATTAGTGTATTTAGCTGTAAAATGCTCTTTGAACTAATCCTGTATATAGCTCAATAAACTAGGAGTTCGGAAAACAGGTGTTTTGGGATAAACAATTAGAAATTCTCAAAAAACTACTTGGCCATTATACTCCAATCTTGCTATTCAGAAGTATCAATCCTGCGGATTTGAAAAATTTCAAGTAGTTGCGTAAAATTATCGTCGCATTACCAACAAGTGCCAAAACCTGCATTTTGCCTGGTTTTTTCGGCCATAACACTTTTGCTATTAGTCAGATTTTTTCACGTGTGGTCTCATTCTGTAGGTCTCATAAATACCTAAAAATCTTTCATGAAAAGTTTTTTCGTTCCTGTCAACACATTCGATTGAATCCCAAAAAACACGTTTTCTCATTCTTTGTTGTCAAATAAAAAGTTTTCCCACAAAAATCCATGGTTAAAGTGCGCCCTTGAACAACTTGCACCAATAAAACCGGACTTTACAATTATTTCGGGGAAAACATTGGAAATATACATTTATGAGATTTGCTTAGCGGTGCGCCTGTAGCCTGTCCAGAAAATGCGTCGATCGAACTGTAACATCTATATTGAATTTCATAAAATAATTGACTATACCTATTGATATTTTTATCACCTGCTGATATAATAGAAGTTCTTGATTGTGTCAGTATTTACACCAGTTGAAAGAAAACAATTAGAAGTTTTAAAGTTTTAAATCAAACGGGGAATTCAAAAATAATTTTTATTTGTTAAAAAACCATTGGCGTACCATTTTTTCTTAAAAAAAATATCGAAGTCAATACCCGTTCGCACGCCACTGTTAAAGCTAGAAATTATGTTTGCATTGAAAAATATGCAACTTCATTAACTTTCACTACGTACAAAATATCAGTGAAATATCTGAAGCGGTTCTGAGAATATTAATTAACTTCCATTTTTTCCTAAAACTTCAACACCCCGAGTTTTTGTAAGGAAACATTTTTTGGACCATAGCTTATAAAGCAAACAAATTTTTCATGTAGATCCACACCCTTAAATATTCGCATTAAGGAACACCCTGTATATTATGAAATTAAGTGGCACATTCTGTGTATGGGATCTGAACAGAAAAACGCATTTTCTTTACGGCTGCCCAGCTGCCCATCAGTAAAAAAATCTATTTTAAATAGCTATGATCCCTAAGAAACACCTGGGAAGGACGCATAAGTGTTAAGCGCTGTGGTTCTGGCTGATGGCCCTTCCCGCTAGCACATATTTCCAAACAGTATCTGGTTGTTCTATACGTGGTGACAAAGACTTCGCAGTCGATAGCGGTAAGGCTAGTAAGTGGCTAGCTTGCTTGAGCACCACAGGGGCCACGCATACCGCCCCTACTGCAGCCTTGGAGGTCCTCCATTACACATAATTTATTCAGGGTAATGCCCTTTTAGTAGCTCATAGACTAACTCAAGGCAGCATAAACTGCACACTGAGCTGAAGGCAGATCCTAGATTGGAAATGCCTATGAACACAACTGTCTCAGTGTATAATTTCGATAAAAACTATCAAACAATAGTACCAGAAACAAATACGTGGGAGAAAGGACCTCCTATACATGCCAAAAGCAACGGGTAGACAGACGGCTCAAAAACTGAACACGCAGCTGGAGCTGGGATTTATGCAGCAGGGCCAAAAACTGAGATCTAGGTAATATTGCAACAATATTTCAGACTGAAGTAACGGCCATACAAGTCTGCGCAAGACAGCTAATAAGGAATGAGACTGCAAATCAGTCGATCGTCATCTGCTCGGACAGCCAGTCAGCGATAGAGGCATTAAGTTTATCGCAAATACCCTCTAAGCTAGTAAGGGGTTGAGTGAACACTCTCAAAGAGCTGGAAAATCGAAACAAGGTGACAATGCTCTGGGTACCAGGTCATGAAGAGCACCAAGGGAATGAAAAAGCGGATGAGCTAGCCCGACACAGTGCGCCCAAACGCCTTATAGGTCCACAGCCTTTCTGTCGAACACGCATTAAACAGTCCATAAGAAAAATACCCTAGAATGGTGGAACAGTCAATTGGGGCAGAGGCAGGCAAAAAATTTGATCAAAGAACGAAGGCCTGCATTTACAGGATACCCACTTGGATTTATTGGAAAGGCCATAAAGGCCATAGTGGGTCTCCCGACAGATCACTGTCATCTAAATCGACATCTTATGGGGTCTGGAAGAACAGGTGGCATGCTGTTTCTTCAGACAGCATAAGGAAACCCCAGTGCATCTCCTGTGTCACTGTGAAGGCCTGGCCGGCTAGGGTCCACAGCTTCAACAGCGGAAAACTACATGCAAGGCCTTGGATCAATATTTCGCACAAAGTATATATGGGGGTCACAATAGATCCATTTGGGTCGCAGGCCAACCCCTTTCTTCTGTAATCTGTAATCCGTTCTACACCATTAACCATAACTATCTTATCACAAAAAGCATTTGCACTAACACATTGCAGCTATACTAGTTACACATCACAAAGAAGCACACTATTTTGGTTCTTGGTTATCCAACAGGCTCGGAAACTGAGATATCCACAGGTAAGCACAATCACTTCACAGCTTCAAGTAAACTCCAAATCGTCTTGGCACTAACATAGTACTAGTACTAATCACCGGATATGCAAAACATTAAATTCATTAATCATACAAGTCGCGTAGAAAAGTATAGAACATCTATGACTCCTTTTTATGGACAAAAGATAATCTAGTTCTGCTTCGCACGGAATGTCAGGATAAAAATGCACGTTACTTATTGCTCAAAAGAATGAAAGTGTTTTGTTGATTTATGAACCACGAAGAAAGCAGCACGTTTAAAGAGAAAACCGATTTTACCTGTCAAATCAACGGACACCATCTTTTTCTGTTTTGATTGTGTGAATGTTGATGCGAAAAATGAACCAACAGACAGCGCGACAACCGTTTTATATACCTTCTTAGTTTTTCAAAGTATTTTGAAACAATAAGATTAAAAGTATAATCGTTGAGTCATCGGTGACTCGTCTCAAATTTTGAAAAAAATAATTACTTTAATTCATGATGATTTTTTGAGGCGAACATCCAATCAGTACGAGCTTGCAGAAAAAGTTGAATCTTTTCATTGTCACTATGTTTTGTAAATTAGAAATGCTTAATAAGAAAAAAGTGGATTAGAGGACACACTGCAATTATCGGAGATATAGAAATACGCTGCAATCCACAGAAAACTGCGCAACAAAGAAGTACCGTATCTGTCGATTTGTCTATTATAAAATACCTTGTTAAATGATTAAAAATGTTTTCAGCACTCATTTTAATTGCGTGTATTTGAATCCAGGTGCGTAACACACACATTTTTACATCACAGTAGTTAGATTAACAACCATGGTATGACAGAATTTGGTTAAATAACGGATGTAATACGTTAAGTTTTGCATATGAAGCGTATAAATGCAAACCCAGACATTTGACATTTTTGAAAAAAATCAGTTATATATGGACTCCACATGCAAAAATGTCCGGGATTACGATTTTCTGACCCTCAAGTCCATAGGCAGACATCTTAAGCCGTTATTCGCACTTGAAATTTGGTTTTAGATGCAAAAGCAGATATTTATGTACGCCGGTTACGTGCAAAAGCAGACATTTGCCTTTAAGAAAATCCGAGCGTGACTGCTTAGTCATGTGATCTGGTGGCAGATAAAATAAAAAGCATATCAGCTCTGCTAGCACAACATTATGGGGTGAATTGGGTAACTGATGCAAGGCTTCATTTCTTCAAAAACGCTTTTGAATTGGAAAATGTTAGTCAGGCGGAAGCTAGAGATCCTGAAGAAGAGATGGTGATTTTATCAGACACTGAAGATACAGACTTGAGAATTTAGTTGCGTTCATTTGCCCATTAAAATCATTTTCTTTGAAGATTACTTGATTCTATTACCTTCCTTCATTATCATTATCATAGTTAGGTACTTCATATAGGTATATACACAATCTAGTGTTTATTAAGATACATAACCAGATATTTGCAAGTCTCAGGTGCAAAACAAGACGTATAATTTTTTAACCAAAATATCTTTTTGTTATTAAGCCAAATATATTTTTATGAAGCAGTACTCATCACTATCAAAATATTGGATATTTTAGTCAAAACATGAACTTGATTGGACTAAACCTAAGATTTTGAGAGGTTATTTGCATTTTACTCAAAACCACTTATACGTCTAATGTCTGGGTTTGCATTTATACGCTTCATATAGAAACATAGTAGGCCGCGCGGATCGAACGTCAGTACTGAATCTTAACCTCACTCTTTAGTAAACTTAAATTCAAAGTCTCACAACAATATGTGCAGTGTTCTTACTACAGTGGATTTTTAAGTGTCACCAAGTCATTAGGAAAATGGAACTCAACCGAGAACATTTTCGCGCCATAATTTATTACAACTTTCAGAGACACTTATCGCAACAAGAATGTCTTACTGTCTGTTTTCGGCAATGAAGCGCCACATCAGTCGACAATTTCCCGTTGGTATGGAGAATTCAAACGTGGACGGGTGAGTCTTAGCGACGATCCCACGGTGGGTGCACCAAAAACGGCAGTCACCCAAAAAAACGTCGATGCTGCGCGCAAACTCATCATTGAAGATGGACATGTGACATATCGTCAGATTGAGGCGTCTTTGAAGATCTCTAAGACCTCAATTCAAAAAATTTTACATGAAGAATTAGGACTAAGAAAATTAGTTTCTTGTTGGATACCCCACCTGTTGACTGAAGAGCAGAAAGCAGCCAGGGTTAATTGGTGTCAAAAAACGCTCGACCGTTTCAATTCCGGAAACTCAAAAAATGTGTACAGCATTGTTAGTCGTGATGAATCGTGGATTTACTGTTATGAACCAGAAAATAAACGACAGTCGGCTGTTTGGGTGATCCAAGGTGAAGAAAAGCCAACAAAGTCATCCGTTCTCGAAGTGTTTCGAAAAAGATGGTCGCGACATTTGTGTCAAATCGGGTCATATTGCAACAATTCCCCTTAATGAGCAAAGAACTGTTACTGCGGATTGGGATATCACCATTTGTTTGCCAAAAGTCATCACCGAGCTTCGAAAAATCAACCCCGAAAGAAGAATCATCCTCCACCAAGACAATGCAAGCTCGCACACAGCCCAAAAAACAAGGCAGTATTTAACGGAAGAACACGTGGAATTATTGGACCATCCTCCACATAGTCCCGATCTAAGTCCTAAGGACTTCTTTACTTTCTCGAAAATTAAAAACAGACTGCGTGGTCAAAGGTTCCAGTCACGAGATGAAGCAGTTGATGCATTCAAAAATGCCGTTTTGGATCTGCCAGCAAACGAGTGGAATAAGTGCTTCGAAAATTGGTTCGAGCGCATGCAGATGTGTATAATCTTCGTGTAGAATACTTCCAAAAACAATAAAGTCATTTAAAACTACCTACCATGTTGTTTTATTTCCATATGCGAAACTTAAAAGACATCCCTCGTAGTGAAGATATCTACAGTGCTTTTCAAAAAGGTGGAGGACCTTATTTTTTGAGCGGCAGTAATGGTAAATTCATACACAAAAACGACAGGCTGTCAAAGCTCACCGTCTTGTATCTTGAAGCTCTTATAACTCATTAACGAAGTATGTGATATCAAAAATGACGTATTTTGACATTTTCTTAAAAGTGGTGTGCCATATTTCATTATATATTCGGGTAGATCCTTCCAAGAAAATGAGATTGATATAACATACTTATGAGATTTTGACAATTGGTTTTTGAGTTATAAGAAATCCAATGTACAAAAGTGCTAACTTTGGCAGCCTAGAGATTGTGGAATAATCTGAGGTAGTCTAAACATATTAGACCAAAAATACCCCTGGTTTGCGAAATAACTGTGTCTGGTTCTATAGATGCAAGTTGTTCACGGGGAAAACTTTTTATTCGACAAGAAATAATGAGAAAATGTGTTTTTTGGGATTCCATCGAAAATGTTGGCAGGAACGGAAAAACTTCTCTAATAAGATGTTTAGGTATATATGAGAACTACAGAATGAGACCACACGTGAAAAGATCCCGCTGAGCTACTTGAAATTCTGCAAATCCGAAATCTTCTTAGTTTTTAATAACCACAACAAAATTGGACTCGATTGGTTGAGTAGTTTTTGAGAATTTCTAATTGTTTGTCCCAAAACGCCTGTTTTCCGGCCATCACTACTAGTTTATTGAGCAATACACAGGGTTCATTCAAGTGGCATTTTATAGCAAACTACACGAGTTTTTCTTGCAGAATATGAATAAAAAAAAGTAGCATCTAGAAAGAAAACTACACGAGATCTCCCTATTGCTCGCATCTTGTAACAGCTATATGTACAAATATGATGAAATAAATACATCTTAATAACATATTAGATGCGTATGCAGTACAAACTGATTTTAAATGCTTCGTAGTTGTTACATTCATCACTTAAATATGATAATGGGTAATCCAGTTTATTGATAGATAAAGTCTCTTTCCTAGTTTAAATTTGATTATACTCCGATTTGATAATCTTTTGAAACTTATTAGTTACTACATCGTCTGGTTCTCTCAGTGTGACGAAACAGGCAAGGTTAAAAATCGCTTTAAAATAAAATAATCTCAAAACACATTTCTGGGTCTTCTTGAGCTTTAATTTAGACACTGATCTCAAAAATTATAGTTTTTAACCGAGTTTTTAAACATTGAATATACCCATTTCTAAGGCTTTTCTGACTGGCCTATCACTCGAAAATGGCCAGATTAGAGAAAAGTTAATGGAAATCTTTTTTGTTCGAAATGATCCTAAAGAAGTGAAACAAAATTGTCAGGGCAAATCATGTTATAATTTATTTGAAAAAAATGTTTAAACAAATTTGATATAGACTACCGTGCGGGTATATTCAATCCTTGGAAACTGGGTTAAGAATTATAACTTTTGAGGTAGCGAAGTATCTAAATTGAAGCTAGAACTCTACTCTACAAGAATATTTTGAGACTAATATATTTTTGCGTGATTCCAACCTTACGTTTCAGGCTAAAATTGGCGAGTTTAGGTTCTTGGAGAGTTACGTAGGCAGGCTATAATTTATTAAAACAACTCAAACACCGTGTTTTCTTTATTATATTTTCATCACGTTCAAAACTTTCCCTTTGTTCCAAAATATCCATTAAATGCTAAAGAAAGGCTGTTTTTGCCACTGATCATTTTCAGAAGTTTTTAATCTGTAATATCGAGAGTATTTAAGCCATATTCTCTGGCCGCGAAATGAATCCATAGATTGGAAATTGTTTTCTACTGACGCTTCGGCAACCACGTCTTCTTTTGCAAAGTATTTGTACACATCAAAATGACAATGATAATATATTTATGTGTCTTCCAGGTGAAAATCTTAAAGACAGTGCCCAACAGTTCTATCGCCTACACAAGTTGCAAATTTAACGAAAATCAGTATATATCTGTACGAAAGCAAAATCTTATTGCATATAGCTATTCTGATTAGCAACCTTTAGAGGTAAACATGCTGTCGAATTAAAAAGGTCTGTGCTGAAAAAATGGTTTCAATTATTTAATGCAATTGTTGAAGATTTCCGGTTAAATATTATAAATCGGAAACGAATGAACCGCTGTTGAATTACGTCACGTTTTTTAACAAGTTCGCTTTTTACAAGGCGCATTGAAGTGCCAGTTACATGGAAACTGGGCAAGTTCATTTGCCGATAAAGCTTAAAAAAGACAAAAAGTGAGAATTCAATATCAAAACTGGGAGTCTTTATTATTCTTGTTCACACTGTTAACCCCATGTAACATAACACATTTCTTCTATTGCTAACCCGACAAATCGGTATTATTGCCTCATTAATAAGGGGCTTTTCTGACCTTAGGCAAGCAATAATAACAAAAAAAAACAATGAATGCCATTTAAAGTTGTATTTTGAACTTTATATTCTATACGAGTGAGACATGGCTGATGATAGATATAACTCATTCTCTAGCTGTCCTTCTTGAATATCTCTACAATCGATTAATATTAAAAAACTACTTTTAAACCTAGCAGAAAGATAACATGGTCAAAATGCTGTATAGAGCGGTAGGTCACAGTTTGAGTTCTGACGTGTTATAAAATTGTCACAAATGGCTCATTGTGGAACACCCTGTATAGTGTGGTAGGTATCTTGACATATTTTTCCGAAAAGGGGGGTTCCCATTTGGCCTATATATGAGACGTTAATTGCACTGATTTAATCAAGCAATCAAATTGATTCCAAAAAGAAAGTCAGACATGTCAAGACCTAATTCGACGTCATTTTGATGCTTAAACCTTCAAGGTTTCCTAAACGATCCATTTTCATCCCCAAA